AAATCCATGAAATTTCCGAAGTATCAACGCATTGTTTAATAATGGTCTATAGAGTATTTAAACGGCTTATGCTTTATAGATATTTATATATATATACTTTAATTACCTTATTTCTTGTTTAAATGCTTATTTTACACATTTTATTTTAATTACTCACCATTTTAGACTTTTAACATTATAATCTGAAAACTAAATATATTACTTAAAATTCTCTTTTCGTATGAAAAATTTTAAAACAGGGATCTACACACAGTCCTACATTACATTCCTTGAACTCGTAATAACTCATTTGCCGTTTTGGAGGATTTTTCCGGGAATGTGAACAAACGAAGCATCGTCGTCTCATTTTCTTATCAGTCTCTTCTGAACAAAGTTTTGGAAAATGTCTTTCAGTTAATCTTTCAGAATCAATATCTGAAATATTTTGCATCATTTCTGCTATTTCATGCTCTGTTAAACATTTTCGACGCTTCGACATTGAAACGGTAAAAACAGAAAGAATACACGTCTAACAAGATCTAATTATTTTCTAAAAACTGAACTGTATACGGAAATACTCAACGCTTTAGCGCATATAAAACTTCTACTTACAATAAACAACTACCACGTGCGAATAAAGTGCGATTTAAAGAGACGTCATAAATCACGCCATTCGGATACATTTAGTTCCCCGTTTGTTTATATAATCAAAAACACGTGTATGTGAGTCATGCTTCTCTCATTTCGAGTAGAAGGTCTAATGCACATGTATCTGAAACCATATGGACATACAGTGCCATCTTGTGGCAGAAATTATAGTTTGGAAAACGTTCCAAGGTACTGGCACAAATACGTGACAGTCGGTAGAGAATGCAACAATGCTCTGGCACGCCTGCGTGTCGGCCGGTAGATAAGTGTGTTCGTTGCTGGCACGTATACGTGACAGTCGGCGCGAAGGGGTTAATGAACTTTTAACAAAATTACTTCCATTATTGGAAAAATTGCTCGGAGTTTGCTTCTCTCTCAACTGTTTTGTGACTCCGGTTCTGATATTTTTCATGCTATCCAAATTCTAAGCCTAAACCACATTTCAGTTTTTACAGGGACCCAAAATAAAGGGTGTTTGCTCTGCGACTTGAACGTGAAATCATGTTTGCAAACTCATGACCCGTAATCATCTTATAGAGAAACTCACCAGCGTTCGAGTGATTAAGGTTCCTAAACAGAAGTAGTTCCGAGAGACGCATAGACACTCGATATCTTCCGTCTAACATATGGGGAAAGGGGTACCTATGCAAGACGTGGTTTCCTGTATGGGAAAGAGTAGCTTTAGGTGGGTCCATAGAACCTGTCTGTGCTCCCATAAGGAATTCTCAATGCTTGGAGACGACATACTCATTTTATTTGTTCGTCCATTTGTTGCCGCAATTGGCGATACATCCATTTTGCAAGCAGATAATGCTCGCCCTCACACTGATTGGCTCGTGCACCAATTTCTCGAAAAGGAAGCTATAGTCCAAATGGAATGCCCAGTACAGTCTCAGGACCTTAAGCCATACAGCATGCGTGGGATGCTCTCGAAAGGCGTGTTGTTGGCCTCCAACGCCTCCTCAAAACTTATATGGACTTAGAATTCCTTTGCACTATCAATTAGCATTGCTACGACTGCAGTTCATTGACAGCATCAATAAACAGCATGAGGCATTGCTGTCGGGGCTGCATTGCTGTTCGGGGGATCATTCTGACTTTCGAGAAATTTTTTTGTATTTAATTCATACGTCCAAATTTTGCAGATTTTTTACTTTCTTATTGATATCACAAAGCGTAAATAATCTGTATAACATTTCTTTGTGTTTTTAAGGGTATACTAAATATTATCAATAAAAGTTTCGTCCAATATGCTTGTATACGTTTTGAGTTATCATCAATTTTCCGAATATTTTTTGCCTAACTTTTGGAAACCAATGTATTTTACAAAAAGAAAAGAACTATTACTGAAAGTGAGGAGCATTCGAATCGTGTCTCTTATTTTTGGGCATCACGCTAGTATTACAAAGTGAAGAGAAACATGATATATATATATATATATATATATATATATATATAAATCAAGCAAAGTAGTAATTATAATTTTTAAAAAAACCAATTTTGGTCTAGAAAAACATCTTGCGCAATATGCTGCAAAATAAGTAAAATATAAAAATTGTAGTAAGCTCGCCTAAAAGTTACCAAGAGCTGCTGCTCCAAAAGGTTCAACGTTTTAAAAAAAATTAATACATATGAAAATCAAACCATTAGACATGTAAAACATTAGAAAACAGAAAACAGATAAAAAGTAAGCGGAAAATGGTAAATTAGCCCAATTCGACTTCCAAACTGGCTTTTCAAGGGAAATTTCATTTATTTGAACGTCGAATCAAGCTAACCCCATTACGCGTTTCTCCGAAACAGACAATTGAAACTTTTTCGCTAAAAATTTTTTTAAATTTAGACAAAGTGTCTTGGAAATTTTAATAGTCTCAATTCTCTGTTCCAATTTCCCGACGCGTCCGCACAGAATGACACATTAAGGTGTTAAAATATGTTAAACAATACCTAAAATTCCTAAATCTAGACTAAAATCAAAATTAAAATCAAAATAAAAACGAAAATAAATAGCGATGAGCTATTAGTCCTAAAAATACAAAAACATACGGGCTGGGCCTGCAAGCTTAAAGATTAACAATTTAATTTTTAAATTATAGATTTTAGAAATCTGTAATGAAAACCTGTAATTAAAATAAAATAAAACAAAAATTAAGATGAGAACAAACTAAGTGGGTCTTGCTAAGACCAAGAAAAAGTTGTAACAAAAGAAACAAAAACTGACCTGTGGCGATGCAAAGCTGTCCCTCTTAAAACTTGTTGAAAAATGGCTGCAATTCTTTCTGTGTCTTTCATTCGTATGACGTATGTAGGGGGGAGCGAAGTTCTGTGGGCATTTAGCCAATACGAAGAGATTTTCGTTATCTGCAACTCGTCTCCTATTATCGAAGGGGGCCGGAAACCTCGGAAAAACGTGTAAAGATCTCAAAAATGGCACTTGGCTTGTAGTAGGATGGAAGAAAAATTTTTTTCGAAGTGAAAATGGCTAATTCAGTTAAAACTATAAAAACTTGGCCATTAAAGCAAGAGTAAAAGGAAAAAACAGTCATTTGTTAAAAAAGTCGTAATTCTTCAAGCTAGCGGGCGATCAAGCTACTATGAAAAACGAAAAAAAAGCCCGCCCGATTTGTTAATAAAAGCAGTAAAATTGGCCATTATAGAAATTTAAAACTGTGTACACAATAGTATTTAAGATTAAAGTGCCAAAATTTTGGAGGAAAGAGAAGAAAGAATGAATAACAAGAATTATCTGTACATTTTTACAATAGATTCTCTGAATTAGTCATCCATCTTAAACCGTCCGTAGCTTTAGGCATAAAATATCATTATCTAATTCAAAAAATCTAAAAATAGGTAAAACTAATGCCAGCTTTTGTAAGGGAATTTTTAATTATTTTATGAGGTATTAGGTTACTTTTTAAAATAGTTACGAAGTATAGTATTTCTTCTTGTAAGTGTTCCGCAGTTTTGCAAATTCTTTTTATTCTAAGTAGCTGTGAATAAATTGTGTTGAGTATGACTCTTTTGGAAATATTTGAATTCCAGTTAGTTAATTTAAGTGTGGAAAAATTAAATTCTCTTCTTTTGTCGTAAACTTTAATAAAATGGTAATCTATAATATGTAAATCAAGGTAGACTACATTATGCTGTTCTGTATTGGTTTTATTTAGTTTTAAGCAAGCAGGGTAGATATTAGCTATTTCTATTTTGTTGTAGTTATTAAACGCAATGACATCATATATATATATATATATATATATATATATATATATATAGTCACAAATGCACACACATAAATATATGTATATATATACACACACACATAAATATACGTATATATATATATATATATATATAGTCACAAATGCACACACATAAATATATGTATATATATACACACACACATAAATATACGTATATATATATATACACACACACACACACACACATAATATATGTATATTTATACACATAAATATATATACATCCTTCATTCTTTTTCCATTCTTTAGAGAAAGGGGGGTAAAAGAAACATCAGTTAATGTAACTGAAATATGAACATAGACAACAATCAAATTTAGTCAGAGTTCTTGTGTGGAAAATCGCAGCATAAAATCTTATTTCTTCGCATCTCAAAAACTTTGAATTTCGGCCAATTTACCGTGTGAATTTTCGCTATCATTTTTTAAGAGCAATGCATCTATTGCAGCTGTAAATGAATTCGTTATGAAATCTTACTGTGATCAATTTTATGAGCTGACCTTATAGTTGATGTCAAGAAATAACAATAAGCAACATTCAAAAGAATCTACATAATATGCACATATTCTGATTGAAGTTTAAAATTTAAATGGCTTAAGTAAAGGATAAACATATTGACAGTAAAAATGCTGAAATATTTAACATAAATTAAGGTTAGGTTATCTGAGTATGGCAAACACGTGAGGGCTGTCTAACTAACATAAATTTAGAGAGAGAAAAAGCTTGGTAATAAGGTAGCAAACGTGACTGAAACACATTCTGAGCGTTTGCATATAATAAATTCGGTATATTTGATCATGGGGCAAAACAGCGTTTATGATACATAATTCTCCAAATTCAAATTCCAGAATTTAATAAGAATAGAAAAAGGGGGTGGGAGAAAAGTGTTCCGAATTTCTATAACATTTCTAGGAAAAAAAGTACAAACATAATTTCAATTAAAATTGCATACAAAATATAGCATACAATTAATTTTCTTATTTCTTGTATGATAATCCCCTTCGTTAATTTTAAAATTTCAGTCTTGTTATTCCTATGTGATATCTTAAGTAATCATTATCACCTACAGACGACAGCCTGATAATTTTTTAATTTATGTAAAGACAACATCTTACCTTGAATAATACGCTACTGGATGAAGAAATGCGAGATGCTTTACATGAGCTATTAATGATGAGCTTCGGATGATAAGAACTATTGCTATTGATAAAACTTATCCTCTCGTGTCTCTTGCGATAACAATAGGGTTGAGTATTTCGGGGAATGCCGAAGTGATAATGCAGTTTGTCTTTGGTGCATTAATCTTATAACACCCAAGATCGATTATTTATGCTTTATTACATCATAGCAATAAGAGTCTGAAAATGTATTGAACCATAAATTGCCCATTGCAGAATCACAGCAATCCATAGTTTACATAAGTTTCTGCACTCATTCAATGCTATAGTTATTTTAAGACGCTTCGGGAAATTTTTCTCCTGTTACGCGAGGCTTAGGAAATCACGTGTAATGACTCTCGCAAAGAAGTTCGATAAAGTTTCTTCACGCATTTTAAAATATATTAAAAAAATCGAAAATATGCATTTCGAAGCATTATTTTAAAGATTTAAGTAATAATGAACACACACACCACAAAAAAAAAAAAAAAAAAAAAAAAAAAAAAAAAGAGGTTCAGTTTTCATTAAAAGATATTCTTCACTTAGCCTAAACTGAAGATCTGAAAACTACCTTTTCGGTTTAGTTGAGATGACCAATTTGTGAACCATTCGCTGCTTAGATTGTTTATAAATAAGAGAAATATTTTTTAGTAATTTTTTATGCAAAGAATCGGACTAATGTCGGGTCATTTCCATATTTACTGAGCTAGGCTGGTAGAATGTAAAAATCTCAAAACGGGACAAACTGCTGAAGCTCTTATTTGGGATCAGAACGAATTCAAAAGATTCGTTTCACACATTTTTTATATTTTATTATGCGATTTGATTAATTTAATTATTAATATGCACGTTCATTACTTAAATAAGGTACCTTAGTTACCCGAATATAAAACTTTTTTTTGTTATATTTTTGGTTCTAAAATTTGGTAGGATCATAATCGACTATTCTGATAAATTAATGATAGAAAGGAGTTTAATAATCATACTATACCATATAATAATGCTTTTTAAGTACTAAATAAACGACGCAAGTAATTTTCGTGCAAGTAAACTGCATAGCTACCTCTAGTTATAATAAAAGAAATTGAATGGGATTATAATAGCGACTAATATGCCTGACCCCCCTGAATAGGTAACAAAGAATATTTGACTTTTTCCTAATATTTCTTTCTATACCATGGTAAAATATTGCATTTAATTAGACAACTTAGCTTTCATTCTAATCAGAACCATACTCTCATCAGGTACTCACCTAAATTTTTATTTCTCAAAATTTTTCCTAATGTCTTACAGTCCAAGACGTTATATTTTCCAGTTAATACGATAATAAATTAACTAAATCCGCATTTACTAGTTGTCCCTGCTTACAGTTTCTTCGCAATAATTCACTTGGCACTTTTTTTTTTTTTTTCGATGAAACTTTAATACCCTTTCTTTATCTATTTGTTGTGTCGAATATTATCACCACATTTCGTAAACATTATTGACCTCTCGGCTCGGCTAACGTTGTCTTTATTTCCTCCGTTAAAGAATTTGCATTTCCGCTGTCAGCTATTTTCCAAAAAACACTTTCTTGTTTTGCGACAGATGCGCAACTGATAATTTTTTGTTAAGCTACTTTCTTGTTTCTGCCCGCCAGTGGCCGAGAGGTTAAGATTGCTGAATACTTGTAATTCGACAAATGCTCGAATGAGTGCAAATGAGTTGGCTGCATGGTTGATTTTTGTGGTTTTCGCTATGTGTAAATGAAAACGAGTCAGTTTCCTTTAGAAATTCCTCCACGAATTTTTCTCTCTCCTTAGACGGATAACCATTTGCCATTTTTAAGTAATCCTTACTTTGTTGTTTATTTTCCCCTTTGGTCCTTGCTTTCGTTGTTTTGTTTCTTAGCCAAAAAAAAAAAAAAAAAAAAAAAAAAAAAAAACTGTGGCCAAGAAAATGCGAGCCAGGGTAACCGATAAGTACCCCGAAAACATTTGTTTAGAATAATGCTGCATTATCTAAAATAAATATTAACCTTCGAGGAATTTTTTTCCATCTAAAGTGTGTTTTACTTTACTTAATTTTTCTTTAGGTAAATGATATATTTACTTGCAAGCTTAAGCGAAAAACAATTTAAGAGTTTATTAGACTTAATCTTTTATTTTTACATGGAATAAGAACGAACTTATGGAGTAAAAGTTTACAAAGCTGAAACAAAGGACAGCATAAAATTATTTATGATTTTACGTAGGTATGCCTAAAGATATATTAAAATTATTAGACAGGAAAGTGTTGTATACATTAATGATTAAAATTATACGAAACACTGAAATATAATTAAAACTAAGAACTTCATTATTATATTTTTTAGCGTATAGCGAGTTCTGTATAAAAATTAGGAAAGTTAGTAAAATGTTTCTTTTGCGTTTCGTAATATTACTTCTCTTTCAATAGCAAAAATATTACGTTAAACTTACAACAAAAATTGAAACAAAACATTAATTTATACATCGAGACAAGGACCACCAGCGGCCGAGCGGTAAAGTCCCTGAACACTGGTAGTTCGGTCCGAGGTTCAAATTCCGCGAACTGGTTGGCTGCGTGGGCGTTTTCGTGATTTTCCCCATGTGTATGCCTTACATTAACAAAATATATAAAATGCTCTAAACGCTAAACCGTAGAAAAAAAGGCAAAATGGTAGAGTGATTACAATTACTAAATACTGATATTTCGATATGGGTTCAAATCCCGGCGAAAGGACTGATTGGATGTCTGTTTTCTATATTTGTTCAACTATAACGTGAATAGGTGCCATTTTCTCTTTCAAAGTTCTCTATGAAAGCATCCCTCCTCTTAGACAGATAGTCTTCTTGTGCTTTGCCGTATTTGAGCAAACAAAATTTAGTTTTATTTTAACTCCAAAAGATGTCCTTTAATGTAAAATAAGTGCAAATAATTTCTGCAATAACGTAGCAATAACGGAGCATGTCCTCTACAACTAAAGCGCAAATTTTAACTTATCCACAAAGAAAATTGCAGAAATTATTTCAGCGTCATTCAGAAAAAGTTCAAATAAATGCATTTTTAAGTTAAAGGAATTAGAATTTCAAGAAAATGTAACATTCATTTTTAATGCATGTATACGCATATGGAATAACTCAAATAGAAAATTTTTATTTATTGAAAGTTTCGAACGGCCAAAGTTTGAATAAGCTTAGCTTACCATTTAGGGTAAAATTTTCCGTGTTGCATAAAGGTCTTTGTAATTGTTCTCTAAATAATTTTAACTTATTTTTATGGATATGAATACAAAAAGAGTAAGAGACGAAATCTAGTATATTGCCTCCCCGTAGCCAAATAAATAATACAGTTCAACTCCGGTAGTTCGACTCGAGTTCAAGTCCGCCAAACCAGTTTTCTGCATGGGTGATTTCGTGGACTGCCTTATATGCAACTTGAATGCTAGTCAATTTCCCTTAGAAAGCCCTCCCCGGATATATTCATCTCCTTTAGACAGAGAACCCTAGTGTGTTTTGTCATAGTTTAATTAATCTAGAGTATTTGGTACGATACCCAATGTTTCTCAAAATTAAGCTATTTAAATAATAAGTCTATTTTTTAATTTACTGAATCAATTCTAGTATAATGATGAATAAAATAAAAGTCTTTTTGCGAGTGCAATGCACTTTTCACCACAAAAAGCAGTGCCTTAAAACTTATCAGCAATTTTCGGGTGTATTATGAGCACTAATTTCAATATGGACACTAGTCTTGCTCTGTCCGTCATAGCTTTCGAAATAAAGCACAGTCACATTATGTGCCAGTTGAGGTGAATAAACATGCATAAAATACGGTTTGGTTTATTTGATTACGGGAAAGCACATAAGACTATCTGCCAAAGGAGAATTGATTCGTATCTACGTTGTACATAGGGAAACCACGAAAGTTCCCATACAGCTAGCCTATTCGCTGGGATTTAAACCCGGTCGATTTGCTAGTGTTCCATAATTTCACCGCTCGGCCCTTCGTATTATACCTTAAATAAAATTTATATTAATGACATTGCGTACATTTTATGGCATTTAAAATAAACGGCCTGATCTTCTCATTCTCCACCTAATCAACTAAGATTTTTGGGAGAGCTATTTACATAGTTTTATTAGTAATGAACGTTAACACTCACCTTAGAGCATAGTTTATTAAATTTAGAAAAGATATTCTTTATTACTTGAATCAAATTATCAAGAAAGTTTTTTGCAGTTGAAAGAGACAAGGACCAGACATGAGACTCTGTCATGTTCATTAAATTTATGTAACGTGAACAAGCTTTTCTATCGAAGATCATTATAAACTCCTGTTAGCTTTCCGAACTCATCTCAAGGACAGGGCTGTTCCTAGCGGGATGCAGCGCGTAAGCAAGTACGCGTAAGGAGAAAATCGTGGTATCGCGAGAGTCCGGTCGCCCCTGACTAAATATTTTGTGTGTGTGTGATTATGGCAAAGCCTCGAGGGCTATCTGCCTCAGAGGAGGGATGCCTTCGTGGAGGACTTTCTAAGGGAAACTGGCTCGTATACAAGTTACACATGGGGAAAAACACGAAAACGCCCATGCAGCCAGCCCGTTCGCGGGATTCGAACCTCGGACCGAACTACCAGTGTTCAGCGATTTTACCGCTCGACCGCTGGTGGGCATCGACTAAATATTTTAAATTCATTGTTAAGTACTTGTCATATGCAAGTACTTTTTATACAATTTGTCATATGTATGTACTTAGTGAGTATGAAATAAAAATTTTATTAATCATTGAGCATTTTTTTTTTTTTTTTTTTTTTTTTTTTTTTAATTTGGTGGCGGCAATCCTAGAAAAGTACGCGGGCAGCCAACGGCCTAGGAGCGGCCCTGCTCAAAGAATGAACTTTATAAATAATAAAAGCACAAACTATATTTATTCTAAAATCCCACCAATTATTTTATTTCCTTTCTTTTATTGTAAAATGTTTCTGCCTCTAAAAGCCAAAGTTTCCCTAACTATATTTTACTCTCCAAATACCACATCTCTTTCTCGAAGAC